GGAAACTTTAGAGAGCGGCTACCAATTTTCTTCTCAGCGTTGGGCCAGAGGGAGGGTCACTTTTCATTGTCAAGTCTGGACAGCAGAGAAACCTTGCCTGGAGGCTAGCTTTGCTTCTCTACTTGATAGCATCTCGAGGAGGTGTTTGGGTAGTAGAGCAACCATCCAGCAGCCTTCTGTTTCGACACCCACGCCTCCGAGAAGTGTGCCGACGCATGAAGGTAATTGGCAGCACTCAGTTGTATCGTTCGCCCGTGTTGATGGTCACACGTAGTCTACCTATCTATCTATCTACCTATCCATCCATCCATCTATCCAGCTATCTAGCTAGCTAGCCAATCTACCGACCTATCTATTTATCTATCTAATTTCTATCTACTATCTAAAACGGTCTATCTATCTATAGATATCTATCTACCTACCTACCTATCTATCTATCTATTTATCTATCTATTTATCTTTGGCTGTTTACATATGTCTATCCAATGGCCATTTGTTTTGCTGGAGGTGTTTCGCCAAAGCTGGTGGATGAGACTCTACGGCGGCTTCACATGTAAAAGGACAAAGGCATGGAGCAATAGCAGGGGGGTCTTTAACCTTGGCGTGGGGAAGATGTCCCGTGCGATCCGGGATTCTGTTACAGATCGTTTGGCTGGTTCTACGGCGTGTGAGAAGACGGGACGCCGGGGCTACCATGGACCCAAAAAGCTCAAAACCAGCCAGTGTCTTGACTCGAGTTGTTCTATGTGCACGTGCGTAGGCATTTGCATAAAAGGCATGTCACTGAATTATATATGTCCTGTGCTCGCACTTTAATGTGAAGTGGTAGCGACTTGGGCCGTTGCATCAACGCTCAAGAACGATCTCAGGTGAGGTAGGCTTGCCGTGGACCCTGGAGCGCTCCCCACTCACTTGTGGGCTGTGGGTCTGGGGTGGTTCGCTAGGGTGCTGACTGAGAGGCCGCAAGACGATCGCCCCTGTCAGTGCCACTGTCGCTGTGCCTGCGTGAGTGAGGGAGGACCGTCCTCCTGGATTGCACTTTGGTCCTGCTAACGTTGTGCATTGGTGGAGGCATTTGGTTTTGGTATTCCAAGAAGGACATCCAACCTGCCGGAAGCCCAAAAGGCAAAAAGGGGATGTGGGGAGTCAGTGGCAAGGTTCTTTCGCTGACCGGCTAAGATGGAAAGTGGTCATCTTGTGCTCGTTCATTATGGCGAAGTGCCAAGCACCTGGCACGTGCGTATCCTCCTTGGACACATCCAAGGCAACGAATGGCAGATCCTTACGCCAGACTACGACAGATACAGTGAGCAGATTGATCACCTCAACCCCGACTATACAGATTTCATCTATCTCGGAGCAAGCACCACCGTACCTCCTCGAGTGCCCGCTCATGAGATCTACGGCCTATGGATCCTGCCACCCTGGCCAACCACTCAAGCCGATGCTGAACGGTTGAACAGAGGACTTCCTCCTATGGGTCCCATGGGTGCGGGACCAGCTGTTGTCGCTCCACCTCCGCCGGCAGTCGCCACATTGCCTGGGGTGCTAGTGGGTGGAGGGGCAGCAGCTGTGGCAGCACCCGCTGGGGGAGGAGCAGCAGTTGCTCCAGCCGGAGTGGTTGGAATGTGTTGGGTGTGTGTTGAGACGGCTGGAGGTTACAGTCGGGGGGAGATCGTGGTCGCCGATCCCGGAGTTTTGCCACCAGGTCATGTGTTGAGTGGGGAGAAAGCTTTGGTCCCAGCAAGAGATGGTTCAGCAGTGGCTTGTTTTGCAAAGAAGGTTCGTGTTGACAGTGCTGCAGGCTACAAGCTCGAGGACCTCCGAATTCTTCCCGTCACCTTTGATGCTCAGGGGGTGAGGCGAAGAGAATTTGCCCAGGCGGTCGCTGCAATGGTTGAGGGAACACCCCAAGGAGGCGGTCTTCAACTAGAGGGTCCGGCGACTGCATTGAATGTGCTCAAGTCCCTTCGTGACCAATTTATGACTCCTACTTCATTTCACGAATTTTGGTTGCGAAGTGCTGAGATCCCAAGGGGTGACCGGTCGATCTACGAGCATGAGGTGTTGTCGCGCATCCTCGAATCGATTGTGACCGTTGATCAGCTCAACGTCAGCGGCTTGCAGGGGATTGAGTTGCTGGTTCGACGACTGCAGGTGATTCGAGAGGCCCATCGGATCTTGCCATCCAGCCCAGATTACAGTTCGGCAGAGTTCTTCATGGGCTGGAAGTATCGGAAGGGCGCACATGGAGTTGATCCCGACCTTGCACATCACGTTGCTGCGGAGTTGAAGTCGGAAGCAATGATCCTCAAGGAGAGCCGCAAGGCAAAGGAAGAAGCGCAAGCGCGCCGCCGAAACCCCGGTGACAAGAAGGGGGGAGGCGGCGGAGATCAGAAATGATGAGTGGCATGGGCGGCGCTGATTCGGCATGTCCTGCCGAAGAATTTGATGGTTATGGCCGTGGGCTCAACCCGTCCTTTCGTGAAGATCGGCTGCGAGAGCTTTTTCCACTGCCTAGGGCTCCTCCACTGCAATGCGACTCCTCCTACTCTCAGGAGGATTTTGTCAGCACAGTGCGCCCCTATCAGCGAGACTTGATATCCCTCCCAGAGACCGGCGACGATCCCGTATCGTTGGACCAGGTTTTGGATGAGCATGGACGACAAGTTCTTGGTGATCCCCTGCGGACTATGCCCCTTTCGGATGAGGAGTGGGGTGAAGTGCTGGAGAAGGGTGATTTGGTTAGGCCTTATATGGATGTGAGATTGCAGCATGATCAACAGCTATATACCTCGTTCATTCAGGACCTACATGCGAAGGGAATGATATCTTTCACCTCGAGGCCCCGGAGATAGCGCCACCATTTTTTGTGAAGAAGAAGAATGGACGTTTGAGGTTGATTTTGGATTGCAGAGCAGTGAACACGCGGTTCAAAAAACCTCCGCCTCTGGCACTTGGAGCCGGAACTTCTTGGGCGCAGGTGTGCATCCCGGAGGGCTCTACACTCTATCTGGCCCAATCCGACATCAAGGACTACTTTTATAGTTTAGCTCTACCTCATGAACTACAGAGCCTCTTCTGTTTGCCTGCTATCGCCAAGTCCGCCATGCAGGACTGGGGCTTGGATTTTGATCAGGTGGACTGCGACGCCGAAGGCTGGAGGTTCCCGCTGTTGAGGGTAGTTCCGATGGGTTGGAGTTCGGCTATGTGGGTGGCGCAAAGGGTCCACACGCATCTGTGCATGGAGGAGGCCTTAGTCTGGATCGCGTGATCATGGAGAGCAAGGCGCCCCCAGATTTGTCAGATGGTGAGGTGATCATCATTCCGTACGCTGACAATTTGAATGTGGCAGGTATTGACGAACAACGTGTTCAGCAGGTTAAGAACAAGATCGTCGATAGGCTTCGTGAGATCGGTTTTCGAGTGCATGAAGAGTTGGAAGCATGTAGCATTGGACAAAGCCTCGGCTTCCTCGTCGATGGCGCCAAAGGTGTGGTGGCGCCCATTCCGGAGAGGCTGCACAAGGTCAGATTGGCGCTTGACTGGCTGGCGAGGCAGCCCTGGGTGACGGGGAAAAAGGTCGAGCGGCTCATCGGACATTGTGTTCATTTCATGCTCCTACGTAGAGAACTCCTGTCGATCTTCAGAGCCATGTACGACTTTGTGCACAAGAGCTATTCGAAAAAACGACCACTTTTTGCCTCTGCTGCAAGAGAAGCTAAGTGGGCATCAGCTCTTTTGGGTCTTTGCAGTGTAGATTTGAGGAAGGACTGGAGTGGGCGGGTTACCGCAAGCGATGCTTCTTTGTCAGGTGCGCCCTCGAGATGAGGTAGCCGCGATAGGATCACAACGTGAGCCCTGGCGATACAAGTACAAAGAGCTGCCTCCACCTCGTGAAGCTGCTTTGAACTTTGGTGACCCCTTCTCAGACCCTTCCACTGTGAAACCCCTGAAACAAGAACTTGAACAACCCGATCCTTTCGAGTTGAAAGAGAAGTTCGTTGAGGTGCCCCAAAACGTCTTGCAGCCTGAGTTGTGGCAGGAGGTGTTTGCCGTACACATGAAACATCCGGAACACATTACATTGCTGGAAACCAGAGGTGTTGTGATTTCTTTGAGACACAAATTTAGAGCCGTGCAGCAGTTTGGAAAGAGACACTTGCATCTCGGAGATAACATGGGCATGATCCTCATGATCGCCAAGGGACGCTCGAGCTCTTTTTCCATGTTGAAGTTGTGTAGGCGCCTCTGTGCTCTTTTGCTATGTGCCGATTCCATGCTTTCACCTCGTTGGATTCCCTCTGAGTTGAACGTGGCCGACAAAGGTTCGCGGCGGTGGGAATCGCAAAGAAAGAGAGATGTTGCTGGCCGAGCCTGGGAGAAGATCCAGCTCGAAAGGGTTGACTCAGTTTGCTACCCAACCGGAGCTGGCAAACCAGACCTTCGACAAGCTGCTAGCAGTGCCAGGCAGGAAGGAGGCCGGCCGACAAGGCCAAGACTCGAGCAGAGATAGCGAGACAGAGATCCGATCCTCCTCGCTTCAAGGGACAGACAAACCTGGAGCGAGTAGCAGTGTCGGAAGCAGTGGCGAAAGACTACACCAGAAGGACCAACGATCTGAGATTCTTTGCACGACAGAGCAAGATTTCCCTTCGAAGTGCGAAGAACTTGGACGAGGCCTGCACCTTGTTTCTGAACAACATCTTCGAGCAGGGCGTAGAGCTCCACGAGGGCTCAAAGTTTGTGGCGGCGGTCAAAGACGCGTTCCCAGACTTTGGCCACAAGTCAGCACTGCCTCGAATGATCAGAGCACTTCAGGGCTGGACAAAGATCGATCCTCAGAAGACCAGACCACCTCTGCCTTGGGAGTTGGTCGCCGGCATTGCAATGAAGATGCAGGCACGAACGCGGCACCATGCGGCCTTGGCGGTGTTGACCATGTTTTCGGCCTACCTGAGGCCGGGAGAATGCCTGGGGATCCAGAAGACAGACCTGGTAAGACCTATGCCAAGACAGGAGCACCACACGCTCCACCTGCACCCTGCCGAGAGACACGAGGCCTCAAAAGTTGGGATCTCGGAAGAGTCGATTCAGCTGGATTCAGTGCAGCTCCTTTGGTTGGGTCAAGCGTTGGAACAGCTTCAGACGGACGGGCCATTTCTTTTCGAGCTGGGACACGCAGAGATGGTCTCAGCTTGGAAACAAGCCTTGGTGGATCTAGGACTGGAACACAACCACGCAGTCCTGCACCAACTATAAGGCACTCAGGTCCGTCTTACGATCGCTGCCATCGTCTTCGGTCGCTTCTGGAGATCAAGGCACGGGGACGCTGGGCCGCAGATTCAAGCCTTCGTCGTTACGAACAACATGGTCGACTAAACCAGGAATTCCATCGCCTTCCACAGGCGACACAAAAGCTAGTCATGAAGCTCGAGGAGCAGATGAGAAAACTGGGCCCAAGATTTTTTCACCCACCCAGACAAAACGGTAGCCAATGAAAAAATTGCGATAGAACTTTTTTCAGGGTGCGCACGTTTGTCGCCTGCTATGGTAGCACTTGCATTCACCGCCATTGCCTATGACATAGACTATGGACATGGCTGTGACCTGCTTGACCGCGGGGTTCAGAGAGAGTTGGTGCGCTTCATCAAGCGACATAGAAACAAGATAGCCCTGATTTGGCTTGGGACACCGTGCACTTCATGGTCCCGAGCTAGGAGATTTGATGGCGGGCCCCGACCCTTGCGGG